TACCCTCACACAGGATTTAGAGAACAAAGTGAAAGAAAGGGAAGCATTGGGGATTATGTGGAGAAATACAGTGTTTGCAATTTCCTGAGACAGGCAATCAGGTGGAAGAACTGGATTGAGGGGGACATTCCTATAGCAGACCCCTTGAGAAACACTGGTTTAAACTATAAACTCTTAAATCTACATTGAGCTTAAGAAGTCTAGGAGATATCCAAACAGTGTCCAAAGGTAGTTTCATAGATACTCTGAAACTGAGATGAGAAAGTTTAAGATTCATTAGAGATGGAGACAATATTTGAAGCCATAGGGTAGGATGCATGCACCCAGAGAGAACACAGACAGAGAAAGAAAATGAAGGCCAGGGAAGAACCCTGAAGAACGTCAACCTTCAACATATGAGCTGGTAAATGAGAGCTGGAAACGGACCACCATCTTCATTAAGCATCTTACATATTGAACCATTTGCACAATTCCAGCTAATGCTAAATCTCACATTTCATAGACCCAAACTGAAATAGAACCACACTCTGTAGCAGCCAAAATATTTAAGTTTTTTAACATTACTAGAGTCTCTTAACAATCCATGCCTCTGCAGGCTGCTCTTCCCTCATTTCTCCTCTTGGTCTTCTCTGTATTTTACAGTACTTATTCTAGTATCTCTTCTCCACCAAATTCCTTTGATTTCTACCTCCTTTTAAGTTTTTTTTTTCAACTTAAATCTTTTATCAGTGGTTTGCTAATAAGGCAAGCATGTTTTTTCTTTATAGGAGTTATCAGGTTTCTGATCAGGTGGAGGGGCTTGTTTCACCCTGTGCCAGCTTCACCAAGAACCTGGCTCAAAGACATGAACCCAGGTTATTGAAACCAACTCCTAGGCTGCTGCGTTAGTTGTGCCTGGTAAACAGCCCACGATCACCTTCAATCAAGCAAGGACAAGAGCAACATCAATGTAGTTTCATGGCTTTCAGGCTGGGACAAAGATCTGTGAATAAACTCCAGGGTTTATGAATTTTTATCCAATGATGTGGTACACATTGCCAATCAATACAACACTGAAAGACACTAGAAACCTTCTATTTTCCTACACCAGCAACTTAAACTGGAGGGACAGAGCCTGTTAACCTTCCAAGTTAGGACTCTTAACCCTAGGTTTCATAATTTTTGCTAATTAACAAAAATTAAGAATGACTGTTAGGGCTAAAAGAAAATAGAAAACAGGAAGTTATAAGATTAGCTGTCAGTGACTAACAAGGTTTTTCTCACTGGTTCCTTTCCAGTGGAATTTAGATCTAATAAATGTACTTCTGTTGCAAACAAGAAACAAATGTCAATCATTGTAAAGAAAGCTAATCTATACACATATAAAGATAAGATTAGGTACTTTGCATTGCTGTGCAATTGTGCACTGTATCTCAAGGGGAGCTAATCACATCACAGACAGGAAATATTTATTATGTATTTAATATAATTAATATTTATTATGCCAAATTTTTATCAGATGGTAATAAAGTGTTTTGTTCTAATAAACTATATATTTGATAACAATTTTTTGACAGATAGAGGTTTCTTGAAGAAAGAGTGCCTTTCTCTAATTTTCAAAAAGGCATCATATGGGCTTGTGGTGGCCCTAATAACCCATGTAAGAAAAGTTTTATAAATTAGAGTGCTTTCTAAATTTTATCAAATATTTGGGGTCTTCAAATAATGATCAAATTTTAATATTGAGTCATGTTACCTTAGGCAAGTCATTTAACTTTGTAAGACACATATTCTCTTCTGTAAAATCAAAGGCCTAGCCAAATTATTATTTTGGTCCTTTCTACTCTATGTTCACTTTAACGTTCTTGTTTGGGCCCAGCAGGTGTGGCTCAATGGTTAAGCATCAACCCATGCACCAAGAAGCCACCGGTTTGATTCCCAGTCAGGGCACATGCCCACATTGTGGGCCTGATCCCTAGTGGGGGGCATGCAGAAGGTGGCCAATCGATGTTCTTTCTCATCAATGTTTCTCTCTCTCTCTCCCTCTCCCTTCCTCTCTTTCTAAAAAAGTTAAAAAAAAGATTCTTGTTTGGATCAAATACATCTATAGTACTTTTGAGCATCATGGATATTTGAGGAACCTTCCAAAGATATCCAAGAGATTGAAAAAGTATCTCAAAGATAAAATCTCATTAACTTTAACATAAACTTCAGGCTAAAATGTTACTGCTAAAGAGGAAATACTAATGTTTTTGAAGATCTACTATGTATCAGGCTTTTATTATCTCATTATCCTTTATATCCATCCTGTGAGTTACTTGTTATCCTCATCTTATGTACAAGGAAACCATTAGTATATTGCATGACCAATCACACTGCTTCTCAGAAGCCAAGGGTCTACTATTTCAAGGGTCTAGGACAAGATAAAATGGACAATAGACAATATTATCTGAAAGAGGCCAAAGAGGTAGAAAGATCTGGACAATGTGGAATTAAGTCTACCAAAATGGTTAGACCGGGGGTTCACAAACTATGGTTCAAGGGCCAAGTCTGCCCATCATCTGTTTTTATAAATAAAGTTTTAATGGTACAAAGTCATGCCACTCATTTACGTACCATCTACGGATGCTTTCACGCTACAAAGGCAGAAATGAGCAGTTGACACCCTTTAGCCTTCAAAGCCTAAAATATTTATTTACCATCTAAATTTTTTGACCCCCCGATAGTCACATGCTTATGACTATAATCTACTCATTCATCCTCAGATCCTACCACTACCATCTTTATTATGAAATTTCTTCTGAAAAACTTGTTACTGTAAGCCAATGTGATGTCTTTACTCAAGCTTACTGACATTTCCTTTCTAGCAGTGACATTAAACCAGCCCTTCAGTCATATTCCCTTTATCACTGCTGTCATGAAACCCAAAGCAGTTAATTTCATCGAGGTCTCAACAACTCCCACCCAAGGTGTTAGTTCCCTAGTTCCCATTCCATCAGTCACTCTTCAAGATTGGGGGTGGAAAGAAGTTCAATTTCTAAATTGATTATGTTACACTCAATGTCATGAAAACTTCCATAACAGAATGTCTTCACTTATTAACAGATTATTGATCTCCATGTATAATTTGTGACAGGCAGGACCAGGCCTTAATCAACTGTGATCCTTTTCAAACAGCATAGATGCTTTCTCGGCTGCCATATATACTCCAGATACAATACCTACTATTTCAAGGGTAGAATTAGTTTCATATCCAGGATATGAGCAGTCTATGAAAGTCAAACATATACACTAAATGTGTATGTTTATAACATTTAAAAAATTTTAGAATTAGTTATCTATATAATGTTTTCCCCAAGAGATAAAAATAAATTTTATTTGTAATTGAATCTCTTTTGTAACAACTTAAGATTTAATTCACATATCATACAATTCACATTCAAAGTATACAGCTCAGTGATTTTTTAAGTATATTCAGAATTGTCCCACCATTATTACAATCAACTGTACATTTTCATCACCCTAAAAAGGAACCCCAAACTTATTAGTCACTCCCACTCACCCCTAGCCCTAAGTAACCACTAATCTACTTTCTTTGTATATAGGTTTGACTATTCTGGACATTTTATATAAATGAAATCATATATTTTCTTTCTGGCTTCTTTCACCTAGCATAATGCTTTCAAGGTTCATCCCTGTTGTAGTCTGTTTCAGTACTTCATGTCTTTTTTATTGCCAAAAAGTCCATTGTATGAATACGCCGCATTTTGTTTATGCATTTATTAAATGACTGGCATTTGGGTTGTTTTCATTTTGGGCTATTATGAATAATGCTGCTAAAAACATTGGTTTGCAAGTTTTTGCACAGACATATGTTTTCATTTCTTTTGGGTATATACTTAAAAGTGGAATTGCTGGGTCATATAACTATGTTTAGCCTTTATGTTAAACTGTTTTCCCAAGCAACTGTACCATTTTACATTTCCATCAGCACTTTTATGGGGGTTCCAATCTCTCTACATCTTCACCAGCACTTTTTATTATCTTTTTTTATTATAACTATCATGGTAAGTATAAAGTGATACCTCATTGTAAGTTTGACTTGCATTTCTCTGATAGCTGATGATGTTGAGCATCTTTTCATGTGCTTATTAGCCTTTTGTTTACCTTTGGAGAACTGTCAATTCAGATCCTTTGTCCATTTCTTTACATTGGGATCTTTGTCTTTTTATTGGGTTATAGTAGTTCTTCATATATTCTAAATACAAGTTCCTCCCTTACCTGATATATGATTTGCAAAAATTTTCTCTCATTCTGTGGATTGTCTTTTTGCTTCTTTGATGCTATCCTTGGAAGCCCAAAAGATTTTTATTACGATGATGTATAATTTATCTTTTTTTTTCTTTTGTTGCTTGTGCTTTCGATGTAATTTATCTAACAAGTTATTGCCATAAAACCAAGGTCATGAAGAATTATGCCTATAATTTTTCCTAATAGTCTTCTAGTGTTTGCTCTTATATTTAGGCCTTTGGTTCACTTTGACTTAATTTTTATATGTGCTGTGAAGGGTTCAACTTTATTCCTAAAAAAGTAGATATTCTGTTGTTCCAGCATCAATTGATGAAAATACCATTTTCCTCTAGTAAATTGTCCTACCCTTTAAAAAAATTAATTGACCATAAAGGTAAGGGTTATTTCTGAACTTTCAATCTATTCCTGTGAGTTTGGAAGTGTTCCTTCCTCTCTAATTTCTTAGCATAATTTGAGAAAGATAGGTGTTTACTCTTCTTAAATGTTTGGTAGAATTCACCTGCGAAGCCATTTGGTCCTAGACTTTGTTTTGGGGAGTTTTTAAACTACTGATTCAATTTCATTATCTGAATTGGCCTACTCAGAATTTCTATTTCTTCATGACTCAGTCTTGGAAGTTTGTATGTTTCTAAATATATATCCATTTCTTCCAGGTTTTTCAATTTGTTGGCATAGCATTGTTTGTAGTAGTCTCTTACAATCCTTTGTATTTCTGTGGTGTTGAGAAAATATTTTCTATCTAAAAAGATGAAACTTCATTTGCTGAGTATAGGAAAATATATTCTCATAGGAAAACAGTTGCACAATAAATTAACAAATAGCAAAATCATTATCACTTTTATACATGTGAAAAAATACATAATAGAATTATTAAATTTCTCTGGAAATCACTGGCATATCCTGTTCCAAATATTTGTGTATGAAAATAGAGATTCATATTTCAAAAACACCATTGTAGTGACTTAATCAAAATATATGTTTTATATTTTAAAATAGCACTGTAGCAAACATGTTTGTTGCACACATGTTCAGAGCTGTATTGCATGGGAAGATCAAAATAAAGTAATTCTCAGTCAAGGTTTGATTGTGCTCTGTGTTGTATAGATAATGCCTTCCGCTTTAATTCGCTCCAATATTGGTCCATAGATCTCCTTTGAAAAGGGTCCCATCAGGCCTTTAGCATGAATTTCACCTGAAAGAAAATAAATTTGTAGTTACCATTTTAAAGGTAATTAAATGCTAATTTCTGCAGCAAGAATCTCCATATAGCAGTAAAATCAGAGTAAATGAATTGTAGGACTAAACATTTTTAAAATAGCTGCCTAATGGTCCCCTGTTAAAGTATGACTTAATCAATACTCTGCAAAGAAAAAGGGTTAATTTTAGATTGAAAACACAGCTGGACTTAGGGATAGTGTCAGACTTTATACACTTAACTACAATAATTTCTGTCAAGAAAATCAGAGAATAAAGTATAATAAGACAGTAAAGTAAATCTAACTGGTGTGCTTTATTTACTGATGTCATCTTTTTTTAAAGCATAACACCAACAGAATGAATTGAAACCCATCTGGTTATTTGGGCACAGGTATCTGTTGAGATTGCTGAAACAGTAAGAATGGACATGTTCCTTAAAAGCCATTATGACCTCATCCTTCATTACTTCATCCTTCTGATTCCTCAGTAACTAAGTACATGGTTTACCTTGATATTGGCTAATGTGCTCTTACAGATAGCATATCTATAATATCTCATCATCTGATATTGATATGCTTTGATGTTTTCTACTCTTCTCACACTTTCACAAGGTCTAAGTGGGGTATTATATTCAGAGGCAATGCTAACTTGAACATATATGTGATCTCAAGGGAAGAGTGGAGAGTTAAAATTTGAATTCATTTTGTTCAAAATATTTATTGAATACTGATAATATATTGAGACATGAAGATTAATAAAACACAGTCTCAAAAAAAGAGAGTGCTTTCCAGCAAAAACACAAAAATAAAATAAAACATGGTCTTTACATTAGAAGATCTGGAAGTAAAGATACTTTGCTATTTCAGTGTTACCATCCCCAAAATATGAAAAATCAAAGAAATAAATGGAGTTAACATTGCCTAGAGGTCCCTCCATGTGGTAGGAGTTTTATGTATTATTTCTCTTTAATGTCACAACAACCCTATGAATTGGAGATGACAGTCCAATTTAAAGATGAGGGAACTCAGAGATGCTGAGTCAAGTGCACCTCATCACTTAGACATCTCGTGAGCTGGGACAGAAAGCAGGTTCAACTCCAAACCCATGATTTTTACTCCCCACAGAGTCATCTCCCAGTCAGCCAGCACCCGGATCTTCTGAGATGGTTCACTTTTAGTGAATGCAGTGTCACACTCATGAATAGTTATTTGATGTCCAGGCACTGAATGACTTGGAGATAAGGAGACAAAAGAACTTACCATCAAGCAACATTTTGGCAGCCATAGCAGTGGGTAACCCCACAGTTTTAGCCATTGCTGAAAAGCCATTGACATCTCCATACACCACAAGATCAATAATTTTATTTTCTAAATGTCCAGAAGGATGTCTGATCCCAAAGCTGTCTCTCATCACAATCATATCTTTCTCTCCAGGACCTTAAAATAGATACACAGACATTGAAAAGGCATTGTCATCACAACTCCAGTATTGGATTTCCTCTCCACTGTTGCCCTTCCGCCTTCACACATTGCCCTCCCGTTACATATGGCTCTTAGACAATTAGCCACACTGCTTTGTAGCCCAAAGGCCCATTGGAAAACTCAAGGAAATTGTAACTCGAATTACATTCTTCTATCCAAGTTGCTAGCACTACAGCCTGGCTACAGACACGGGGGCACTGCTGTGGAAGCCATCCACCTTTCTCTCAAACGTGCTCCTTCACCTTTTCCAAATTAGCTAAAAATTAAAGCAAAACTAATAATATGTTCCTTTTCTGTATTACCCAAGTTCATTCTTACTTAATAGTTCTCTCATTTGTCCCTCTGGAAAAATAGTCAAGTGCTGTTTTTTTCATGTGGTATTACCCACTCCTACTCCTTGGCTCCAGCCCTCCAAGATAATTGCTCGTTGTTCTGACTGCATCTTATGTTACTTTTTCTGAGATGTTCAGCTAATATCCAATGGCTTACCATAGGAAAGTTTCACAGCCAAATGCTTGGAAAGTGCATCCACAACAGACTCTGCCTGAGGGACTTGTTCATCTCCAAGTAAGCCCAACCTGAGAAACACAGGAGATGGCTGCATTAGTACAAGTCTAGTACATATTCTCACAAGGAAGCAGAAGGGAGTGCTCCTTGGATTTAATCTTGAAGAAAATGATCATCAAATGACAGTTCAAGTCATAGACTCTCCTAAATGGTAAAAAAAATAATAACAATAGTAATGTTATAACCTTAAGAATCATCCCTAGATCCTCCCAGGCAGCTCTCTGGGGCAAAACTGACACATTGGAAATCCACACTGTTGCATAGCTTTTTATGAGATTATCTTGCAGGTTAGTACTCCCACATTAAGGATGACAACAAAATGTGGCATGGCCATGTGAATGAATGTTTTAAAATAGTTGGGAAAAGACAGGGTAATTCTCCTGCAGGAAAAAAAAAAAAGAATTCCACCTTTCTTGGGAACTGAGTAGTAATTGTTTCAAAATAAGTATTTCTCAAGTTATAATTGCCATTGAATTTCTTTCTTAATCTACATTTCATCCCCACATGAATAGGTATATGATGATCTCTCTAAAACAGGCCAACACTAAACCTGCAGATTAAGCAAAGACAATGTAAAATGTTTGGTTTTATTTTTACCTTTCTTTGATGAAACAGAACTAAGTAATCATCTATCAACTAGTTTGCTCTATGTTGACTGGGGGGCACCTACCGTTCAACAGCCTCCAGCTGGGTACTGTCTCCTCCTAGTTTCTTGGAGACAGCTTCTTTAAGCACACCATGCTTGGAGGAAGGTGAAATCCCAACTAGATCACAAAGAAGCTCTCTCTGGTTAGAAAAATAAAAATAAAAATTCTAAGTTCCTAATAAAATAAGTTGAGAAAGTATTTTATTAAGACATTGGACTTCAAATGCACCTTGAATTAAATTAGAAATAGTAAATTGTAACACATACATGTGCATATGTGTCTGCACACCCACACATAAATAAATGAATGGTATTCCAGAATGATATTTGAGCAACAAAAATGAGCCATAACATTAAATCCATGCTAAGCAGAGGGTATCATATTGGCATCACATTTCCTGTCCTTGTACATCGTCTCCATCACTTGTTCACTCATTTCCTCTCGCTCCCAGCAGTCCAGTTTGGCCAGGATGAGTGGAAGAGGCTTACTGCTGTGGATGCTCGTAGTAACCAGAGTTATTCTGTAGGTCCCAGAGATGAAAAAGACCTTGCAGATAATAAAATCTCAAAGGAAGAAAACTTAACAGTGGTCATAGCTTTTTCTACTTTCTAAACAAGACTTTTTTTCAGGCTCCCAAGGGAAAAGTTATGCTTCAGTTTAAGGAAAAACAAAATCAGTTCACCACCTGGCTTTGCAAATAAAAATTTTTATTAAAACTTGCTCATTTGTTGATCTATGGCAGAACTGAGTGGTAGTCTGACAGACATCTCATGGACCATAAAGACTAGCCTAACATATTTTTAATCTGGTCTTTTACAAAAAAAAAAAAAAAGTTTGCCAATCTTTATTCTAGACTATAGCTACCAAGATACTGGGACCAACTCCAAGAATACCTGGATCAACCTTCCCAATGCAGCTGCCTCACCCCCAGATTCACTCTCCTGTCCAACTTATTGGAGAGACACTTATTCACTCCTGTCCAACAAGTACATTTATGGAAGGTAAACTTGAATTGGAAAGGCTCTTGGGTATACAAAAAAACTGAGTCGAAAAGCAACTGACTAGCAAGAATACCAAAGTTTCTTTGGGGAGACTTATTAGGATTAGTATATTAATCCTTTTCTCCCTGTGATAAGTTTCTGGCATTTCTATTGGAATATGGGCAACATTAATTTAAGTTGAATGGCCAGCTAATAACAAGTTAATTCCAGGCAGATAGTGGGAGCTCTACTTTACATTAGTTCCAAGCCTCTAAAGTCCCTTCCAACACTGAGCCTCTAGGATTTTTTTTTTTTTTTTAAGATTAATTTTAATTGATTTTTAGAGAGAGGAAGGGAGAGAGAAAGAGAAACATTGATCTGAAAGTGAAACATCAACCGGCTGCCTCCTGGACACGCTCTACAGGGGATTGAGCCCACCACCCAGGCATGTGCCCTGACCTGGAATTGAAGCAACAATCTTTCAGTGCTCGGCACAACGACCAACCAAGTCACACTGGCCAGGGTGCCTCTGGAATTTTAATACAACACAGATACGGGATGAGCTTAGGAACTGAAAATTCAAATTCCACTTCATTACAAACGGCCAAATGAAAGAACTGACGGGATTCATGGGTTAGGAATCCAGTTCTGTGGTGTCACCAGCCGCCCTCATGTGTTATGTTTTAAGAGGCCCAAACTTAACTCCTCTCACTGGGTCACCAGGTAGACTAGTGGCAGAGCTCAGAGAACAAGTTCATCTCTTCCTGGGGATGAAGGAGCCATCAAGTAGTAGAAGTTGCTGAGGAAACAGGCCCAGGGGGCCAGCCTCCAAGCTTTCTCCATGCTCCCTCCATTCTCTCATCACCGTGAAGGGAAAGGGGACTTTGGGGCTAGGGTTTATCTTCCTGTGCACAAGCCACCGAATGGGTTCTTTTGCTGGTCCAAACCAAGTTCAAACCTGACCATGTCAGAAGGCATTTCTGCAGAGCAGCAGACAACGCGTAATTATGGAATCACTCACCCAGGTGAGAGGCTTGGCCTCACGTCGAAGGGCAGGAAATGCATCTCTGTTTATAAGACCCAATTTCACAAATCCATTCAAAGCTTTGGCATATCCCTGTAATGAGAAGTATTAAGCAGTATATGAAAATATTCTCTTCAAAGAAAAAAAATTACTTTTTTTTTTGAAAGAGGGATCTATCTTTATAACTTGTTTAGAAAGCGGGCTGAAAGAGTCATTTGCATTGCTCATGTGGATGCAACCTCCTTCAGGTTCAAAACAAAATCAATAGTGTTACAATTCCATTGGTTTACATAGGAGAGATTGCAAAACTTGGGTCTTTACTTTTTCTTCTGGGATCATCGGGTGGTATTCTCTGGAAGCATAACGGCAAATTTCCTTTTGCGTCATAAACTTTCAGTTCAGCAAACAGTCTTCAATAGGACAGTTGTTTTCTCTCATAAAGAAAGAAGGGGCTTTTAAGAATAGTCACCAAAAGCAAATAATCCATTCCAATGATTAAGAACCACTATTCTAATGCATATAGAGAGCAGGACAAAAAGGTAGATCAGAAAGATTTTCCACAATGTCATAACTCATAAAAATTCCACATGTGCTCTTCATTGTCTACAGGACAAGTCTGAAGTTCTTGGTATATTACATAAAACCCATTCCAATATGCCCCTCCAGCCTGACTCACTAATCGGCATCTCCACCACTCACTATTCCCCAAACATGCTTCATTCTTCCAGAGACCTGGGCCTCTGTGCATGGGATGTGGGAGCCACCCTTCTTCACAGATAAAATGTTTACTCCTTCCTTAAGACCCAGCTCAGCATACCTACTGAGCCCCCTTCTTCTCTGTATTCCTGTAGCATTTTACACATATCTCTCTTATGGCACTTGACACAAATTGTAATTGTCTATTCAGCTGCTGAACTGTAAATAGAGAATGTGTGTGTGTGTGTGTGTGTGTGTGTGTGTGTGTGTGTGTGTCCATGCCCTCATCCAATTATTCATCATTCCAGTAAGCTGAAAGAGAACAAGTGACCGGATGAATAGATTCTGAATGATGATGAAGTGATTGAAGTCCATAATTGTATGTTCTTCTGTGAGCAAATGGGGGGGGGGGGGCAAATAAAGGGCTTTGTATCTGCTGCAATTACAGAAACTGAGACAGAGAGACAGGGAATGAGCAGAGGAGGAGGAGGAGAAGCAGCAGGAGGAGGAAGAAAAGAATGTAAAATTATTTTAGCAAACAATAAAGTATTAACATATAAAAGTTTCTGTAAACATCAGACAGTTCACCATTTAATGTGTGGCCACCTAGTAGTTTTCACATTTCTGAAAGGTTGTATTATTCAAACTGTTCAAAGGTTACTAAAGAATACACATTTATTTTATCTTATCCAATGCAAATATAGTTCAAATAGAAGAAACAAAAAAAACAATATCTCCAGCTTGTTTCTAGAATCTGATAAGTGGCAGAGATCCCTTCATCCAACATCTCAAATACTGAGACATTTCAAGATATTTTTTAATCTTGGAAATATATTTTTATGGTAACCTCTAGAAATGAATTTATTGTATGTATTCATTCATCAGTAAGCATTTAGCAAATTGCTGCCACATGTCAGACTTGTGCTAGGGGCTGAGACCACAGAGATGATAAATGAAGTCCTCACCCATGAAGAAACTGAAATCCAGTAGAAAAGTTGGATAAGTCAAACAAAAAGATGTCTAGTACATAGTGAGCAAAGCTACATGGCCACTGCTGACTACAATGCAGTAGAATATTACAGGTGCTATGACAGAGGTCAACACACAGCTATGGGATCTCACATAAATTGGGAGGGGGGGGGCAGTCACAGAGAAGAAGTTAAGAAAGATTCCATGGAAAGTTGATATCAAACTGAGTCTTCAAGGACAAGCAGGTGATGGGCAGGTGCCAAATATTATCCAAGGTGTCTCCATCACGCTTGGATGATAGTGTCTCATCTCTAATACCAAAAAGAATAATCAGGTTATAGAAAGGTTGTTGACATTGCTCAGGACTGTGACCCTCATGGATATGAACACTGTGACATCTTCCATCCTCCAGTGTTGGGTTCTGTCGTGTGGCTCTTACCACATGATTGAGAGCTTGGTTCAATTCTTAAATCTCTTAAAATCCTGTTTCTGGGTCTACATATTTAGCCAAAGACTATACCTAAAAGTAACATACAATCCTAATTCCTACAACCCCCCACCCCAACACACACACACACAGTTACTAATTTTATTCTGAGAAAAAATTGAAGACAACAGAATCAAGAAATGTGCCAGAGCTGGGGGTGGTTTGGTTCGATTCAGACTAAAATTTCTGTTGTGCCTACAGGCTTATAGAACACCTGGGGTTCCTAGACCCCTTAGGATGTTACCACAGGCATCTCAGCTGATTCCCGAACAGTAAGGAATCACATTCACAACAGGTACCTGCCCTCCAGGGGCTTAAAATCTGTTTCAGGAGACAAGAAAAATATACATAAAATCTAACTTAAAATGCTGAGAGTAAATGCTACGTGCCAACGAATGCAGCAGAAGTGCTAAAGAGTACAAAATGTAGTGGTTGTCTTCTCTTTAAGAATGAACAGGTACCAGCCCTGCCCATACTCTGATTTCAGACTCTGACCTCCTGAATGGTGAGAAAGTAAACGTCTGTTGTTTCAGGCCACCTAGTTAGTTGTAACTTGTTATAACAGCCCTAGCAAACAATTTCACTGAAATTGTCTACTCTGGTTATACTGGTAACTACTCTTGTGATTAATAAATGTGTAGTGAACAGTTGTATTTATGCTTCTAGAATTTATACCGCATTTTGTGGTAAAAAGATTTGCTGGGGGGAAAATGAGGCTGACTCCATCTTCAGCTTTAGGAACACACACTGAGGGCAAAGCTAATTGGCACATTTCATCCCACTGGCCTCAGGGGCTAATGAGACAAAAATTACATTTTTAGCTATGAAGATGATGCACTTTTTCATTCTTCCTGGATTTGAACCTAAGAGGTTGGAAATGCTACCACCATCCTGCCACTGTGGGAGCCTGGGAAGGAAGACCTAAGAGGTGAAGAGAAACCAAGGCCCACAGTGTTCACCTGGCTCCCCGAAACGCATTACACCTGAAGCGAGTCCTCTGCCTGACCCCTGCTGTTCTTGAGTCAAAAATCCCTTTTTGCTCAAACCATTTTGAGTTGTCTCCTAATGCCTCTTAATCAATAGTCGTGTGGAAACAGATTCCAGCCTGGCCTAGCATCTCAATTATTTTGATTACTAAGAAAAATGAAGCATACACTTCACTTTACGTCAAAACAGGCAACATGTTTTATCTGAAACACAGTCGCTTACCTTATATCTTAGTGTCCCCCGCAACAAAGTGTGAGCAGATGAAATGCCATAAATCTCAGCATATTTTGTACTGTCTCTGTTAGGATAGCCTTCCAAATTCAACCCAGGGTAATAGTCCATGGGGGTGACTGCATCAAGGAAGGAGACACCCCCTGCAACGTTCACAACCTGAGGAACATCGAAAAGGTACACCGGGTTACAATACTGTGTCCCCCTTGAATTTATCTGTGTTATTTGCATAATAAAGAAATCAAAGTTTTCAAAGGAAGCAATAGAAATGTTTTTTTGAAAAATACTTTACTTTCCATACTCCAGCTGTTTCACTAATATGATAATTCACAAATCAATTATGCTCCCAAACTTCATTTTATTTTTTAATTTTTATTAAATTCATTGAAACAACAATTGGTTAGTAACATATTACATATTTCAGATCTACAACATTAGTTTGATATTTGTATCCTCGATTGCATGCTCACCAATAAAAATCTAGTTGTATTCCACTACCACACATTTGACCTCCTTTACCCAATTCACCCTCCCCACAATCCCTTCCTCTCCTCTCAAAGTTGAAAATCAGATGTAAGCATTTAGCATTTTTACTAAGATCTTGTTTTCTTTACTTTCTCTCATACTATGGAGTTTTGTTTTTAAACAAACAATAAGCTAAAAGACACTCACTTAAATGGCTTCTGTGCTCAAAGAGCAATGGCAATGTTCTTACTGTTCTTTTTCTTTACTCCCGTCCCCGCTTCTGAATCCACATCATGCACCAGCCTTGTATATTTCATTCACACAGTTAGCATTTACTGAGCACCTACTCTGTGGTACTGGATCCCGCTCACTGAGGGAATAAGAATGATGGACAAGATACAGTTCCTGACTCCATTCACTCCTTTATTTATTGAATAAACATTTCCTGAATGTCTACCAAGTTCCAGGAGCTGTGCTGGAACAATTATAAGGACCCCACAGCCCAGACTAGTCAACATACAGTGGTATGTTAGAGACAAGGAGTGGGGGACATGTCCCCTCACAAGAAAAACAACCCAATGAACAAATAGTGAAACTCAAGAAAGTGCTACCCCCAATCTTACTGCTGATGAGAATTTAAATTACCAATGACCGAGCTCTTTTAATTTCTCAGTAATCTGGCTTGGCCAGTTTGGCTCAGCAGTTAGAGCATCGGCCTGTGAACCTCAGAGTCCTGGGTTCAGTTCCTACTAAGGACACATACCTCAGTCGCAGTTTGTCCCCGCCTCAGTTGGGGTCATGTGGGTGGCAACCAGTTGATATGTCTCTCTCACATCGATATTTCTCTCTCTCTCTTCCTCCCTCTTTCCCTCCCACTCTATCTGAAAATAAATGAAAAAAAAAAAAAAAAAAAAAGTCCTTGGGTGAGGATAATTTCTCAGTAATCCTAGTACCCCTTACCCTCCCCAGCACATACTCAAAATGCAGTGAAGCATTTTTTTCTCTTTAATTTTGATTAAAAGACTAAATTTTTCTTTTAGCTGGTGAGGTTTACGATCATCCTTGATATAACAGAAAAAATCCTGGAATGATATAAATCGGGGCTCAGATTCTCAGGCACGGGGTGTGGCTGCTGGTGGAACTGGATTTTGTCCTGCTTGCACCATGGGAAACAAGTTCTGAACACATGTGTGAACCTGCACAGAACAATCCTGCACATCAGTGACCCTTGGGGGAACGCTGAGGGATTCGCCAACAGGAATCTCCAGCTAAACCTAATGATTCCCACGGCTTATTTGTAGAAAGGTTCTGTATGTGCCTTGGTATAAGAGACAAAATGAAAATGTGTGTCTCTCTACAGCTGAAGCCCAGAAGGAAACACACTATGTTGACTATAGAGTCAGGCCTAGTGGAGACTCTCCATTTAAAGGCTCATTTTGTAGAACGCCAAGCACCATCTGAAACTCCAGGAGGGAGAATCTAAAAAAAGTAAAGAATGTTTATTTCATTTTTCTATGAAACTCTTCGGGTTCAAGAGAAACCATTTCTGCACCCTTTCTTTAAAACAAAGTTCTTCTATTAGGAGTCTAAATATTATAGAAAAATTTATTAAGAAAGCAATACTTGACCTTCAGTGTCTCCAAACCCATCTCATTTCTAGAACCTATGGCAATGTAAATCTCATTTACTTGTTTGAAGGTTAGAAATTTTTTTTTACAGAAACATTCAATAAAGACTACTAGACTCCAGCAATTTACTAATCAGAACAAAATCAGCTGGTTCATACATAAGTCTACCGTGAGATCCTTGTGAAGAAAACATGGAAATGTAAGCTGAACAATAATGATTCCTGTAGAGACTGACAGCTGCTGAAGCAACTTGACCCCACAATTACTGCATTATCATTTGATATCATCTCAGACTTGTATTTCTAGTGGCATATTATAAGTTTCATTAATAAGCTCTGTCTTGTTTAATATTTTGTTAATGACTTGGATGAAGACAGAAATAATTATTTATATATTTGGTAAAGAATATGCATTTTTTTGACTCAATAATACTCACATGTAAGACCCAATCCCAGCAGAAACAGTGGCTCCTTACTCACTGCTGCTGCAGGTGGTTCTAAATACAACTCCTTTACACAAACACACACACACGCCCCTCCTAACCAATGAGAATCAATAATAAGCTTGATTATTAAATTAAAAAGAAATATAACACAGAAAATATACAATCATTTACTCAGGGCCCACTGTGTTCCAGGTGCCTTAGAGACATTACCATTAACACACACAATAACCCATTTTTCAGAGGTGAAAACTGAGGCTGAGTCACCCAGAGGCACATTTGAACCCAGGCCTACCTGACTCCAATGGCCATGTTCTTTCTCCTATGCCATATCTATACCCTTAATGGTGCTTATTTCTGGACCAGTTCTTTGCCTGAAAACTGCATTAAGCACGGTTGCAGGCAATGGAGAGTAGTGTCAGCTTTTATGCATGTGTGTGAAAACATTTGTTTCATTTTACAAATACTTTAGGAAACATTTGCAGAAATGGAATGTCCTACAAAGGAGGGGTTGGGTGTGGCTGTCAAGGTAAACTTGACTTGCAGGCAAACTTGAGCGTTAGGAGACTTATCGCAACGCTGTGTTTGCAGAGCAAGCGGTCCCGACCCGGTTAGCTATGTGTAGCTTGGGAAAGGAGGCTGCTGGGGGTGATGGTGAAGCTCTGGCACGTCATTCCCAGGTGCCACCATTATAGGAAAGTATCCCACCACCCGTGGAGGGAACAGAGATAAAACAAGACACAATCACTGTGTCCACAGATGTGGAAGGAAAGTAAGTGTCATTAGAAATAGGGCTAGAAGTTAGAAGCTAGAGATCGCACCAGTGGCTGGAAATCACTGCAAAGGTGTAGGACAACGGATATGTCCTAATTCATAGGCCACTGCCCAAGTCGCTGGGAAAGTTTAAGGCTTCACTTTTAAGCAGAAGCCAGAGGTCCCCTGGCTCCCCGTTTATGACTGTGAATTACGTAAGGCCTGCTCCACAGTCCCAGAGGGAGTGCAGGGATAAGAACACAAGAGAGACTTCTGGGTTGCGAGACAGACTGATACACTTGAATTACTGAGTGAATAATACATCATCTGAGAAATTCTTAGACACAGACAAAGTGTGGGAGTCCAGACAAAAGAATAGTGAATAAGGGCCGGAGCGGTCATGGAAAGATCCATCCACAAGAGGAAACTTGAGCGGGACCTTGAAAAAAGTATCATTTTAGCAAAGAAAAGCATCATGTTTTCTCTTGGTGTCCTTCACAGAGTCAGGGCAATGCAAGAGCACTTTTTTTTATGAAAGGAGTTCAGGATGAAAGGAAAAAACTTCAAATTCAACAAATACAACTTCGGCTGCCTGAAAATAACCTCTTCCTTTCCCTGAGTTTTCCACCACCAATTTCTTCAGGTCACTAATGTTTGCTAGAGACTTATAACATGCCTGACAATCTGATAAGCAGATTGTAATTTATGTGAGTTCACTGAGCCCTAAGGCAGGGACCCAGCAAGACTGCTGTTATTATGTTTATCTTTAGACTGGAGCCCAAGCTCAGAGAGATGAAATGATTATTCTAGTGCCCCTCCAGCCCAGCCAGAACTCACAAAGCCAGGTCAACGGACATCAACTGACAACAAAGGGTTCTGTGTTCTGTGGGTTGCACTCTGCTGACCTTTCATTGTTTCATTGTTCATAAAGTCATCTTTATCACTTATATGGCCTCCTGAAAACAAGCATTTTGCCCAAATGAAGCAAGAATTTTTCCTGCATTCACTTATTAAGCTAGTCTCTTTTTCAAGACTGCAGAGGTGAAGGGGGCATCAGGAGACAGGCTATGGCAGAAAAAAGATGTGTCCTTGGTAGAATGTCAGACTGAGTTTCTTGCCCAAACCTTCATGATTCACAGACTTGGAGAACTAGATGGAACCCTGGTGCTCACATTATGCATCAGGAGACAAAGTTCCAAGGGAACTTCACAATTGCCTGGTCTTTGGTGACATTGTGACAGGTGCCACCACTTGGAACAGACTCAGGGGTTCTGTTTCATATCTTGAAACATGTAAGTGTATCTTTCCAGCATCAAATTTAAGTGTCCTGTTTGTTTACTTATTTGTTTGTTTGTTGTTAATCCACACCCGAGGATATTTTTTCCTTTTTTTTTTTTTTTAGATAGAGTGAAAGAGAGGGAGGGAGGGAGAAAGAGAAATATCAATATGAGACACATCAATTGGTTGCTTCCCCTTTGATCTGAGGGCCGACACTCTAACGACTGCGCCAAACCGGCCAGGGCCAGTGTCCTGTTTGTTTAGTAGATTCTTAAGTGCAGCTCTGGTCCTCTGGTCACTAAATTGGTTCCTCTCAAATTCAGCTGCACATTGGAATCACTTAAGGAATTTTTAAAGATCCAAAACCCAGGTGAAACAGAAGCTCTGGGAATGGGGCCCAGACATCAGGATTTTGTAAACTGGTCGGTAATCCCAGCCTGCAGCAAGGCTGGGAGCCACACTGCCCACCACAGGCTCAGAAGACCACGGCTGCTAACGACATGCACCTCATTCCTAAGAAACTTATTTCGCTTTCCTCCTTTGTTCATACACTTAGATTCACAGATACACTGAGAATTTATAATACTGCTGTCAGAGTAATCTTTTCAAGACACATCTAGTCACGTAAGTTATCGCTCCCTGAAGGGCCAGGAAGAGGGGGAGAATGGAGGGAGGCACCAAGGTCACAACATGCAAAGGGGGGGCCCTCAGCCTAGTCACATTTGTTCCCAAATATGAGTCTTTCCTTAGGCTATGGGGATAAACTCTGGAGGTAGCCCAGTGTGACTCGGTTACTGGCTGTGCCACTTGCACTCTAACTGTGGCAGTTAGCTAAGCTTCTTATGCCTGTTTTCTGCCTTACAAACCTCATAAGATTGTTGTAAGAATCAAATGAAGTTGCCGCTTAGCACAGTCACGAGTGGCAGCACCTCTGCCCGGCTGGCAGCTTCTTATCCTTCAAGGCTGAGCACATCTTCTCTACTCTGCTAATTTTCTCCTCCCCACCCCTTACCAAGGTCAAATCAACTGTCCTCTCAGCTGCTCTGTGGTAGGCACTTCAGCACACTTCGGAACTGCTCTCACTGGATGGCAGCTATCTGTCCAATGTCTGTCTAGCCCACTATAAGGCTAGCAGTAAACGGGGAGAGAAAAATGCCCTGACATTAGCTAATAATGTTTGAATCCCAGCTGAATGATCTTAACATTCTCGTTAAGTCACAGTTTCCTTATTATAAAATGATGAAAGTAATACTAAACTCAGAGAGCACTTATATTCTGGTACACAGCAGTTGGGGGAAATTTCCTGATCTACCAGACCCTCCATTTCAAGAGCCACCCCATTTCCAGCTGTGAATTCTCTGAGGTCAGGAACATCATTCACTGTGACAACCTTTGGAATCTTGCCCCATGGCCAGCACACGGTAGGGACTTGGTACTTGTTTGCCATGCTGAAATAAATCACAAGACCAGTATTTACACATGCAGAGAAGTTGAGAAGTGAGTTTTTGAAATGCAGAAACAACTTGTAAGAAGAGGAAAGATTGAGCACAGGTCATGCTGGGAACAGTGAGGTGACTAAATGGAACAGAAAATAAACACTGGGAAATGCCAGAGGAGGAGAGGATGGAGCACAAGCAGTGTAGCCAGTATTAAAGGGCCTCGGTATCAGGGAGAAAGAGTATGGATTTCTCAGACAGTTACTTTAGGTTTGTATCTAAAGCTTTGATGAGAATCCTTCACCTTTCCATTCAGCAGGTAGGTGGCGGGCTGCATTATGTTCATCAAAACTCCCACTGGACTCCAGCTAAACTTGTACCTCAAAGGATTGTCTGAATGTTCAGGAGCTGGAAGCCCACCACAGTAAGAAATATAAGATTCAATCTGTAAAACAAAGAATCAGTAAATTAGGTGGAAGATAGGACAGAGGGGAAAATAGTGATGGAAAAAATTAATTAAAAAAAAAATTTTTTAACTCATCTCTATTGTTGAATGTATTACAGATGGTCCCCATCTTTTTTTCCCCATTGACCCCCCTCCTCCCCAATCCCTCTCCCCTCCTGCCTTCCCCACACTATTGTCGGCGTCCATTGGTTATGCATATATGCGTAGAAGTTCTTTGGTTTATCTCATCCTGCCTTCCCTCCCCCCTTCCCTTTGAGGTTCATCAGTCTAACAACCAATTTGTTCTTCTTAATTCCTTCTTGTTTTTACCCATCTCCCCATGCCCCACCCATCTGGCAATTAAATTTTTTAAAAATTCAATAAATTAGGCCCTGGCCGGTTTGGCTCAGAGGTTAGAGCGTCGGCCTGCGGTCTGGAGAGACCCGGGTTCGGTTCCGCTAAGGGCATGTGCCTTGGTTGCGGTTTGTCCCCGGCCCTGGTTGGTCGTGTAGGTGGCAGCCACTCGATGTGTCCCTTTCACATCGATGTTTCTCTCTCTCTCTCTTCCTCTCTCTCCCTCCCACTCTATCTGTACAAAAAATGGAAAAATGTCCTCGGGTGAGGATGAAAAAAAAAAAAAATTCAATAAATTAGGAAGAATTAACAATAAATTAGGGAGTATAATGGCATGCATGAGGTACACTTGCTACAGTTTTTCCTTTCTTAAAGTTACGAAGGCTTTCCAAAATACGTCCTCAAAGGCAAAAACCATTAGATTAAGTAACAGTTATATTTCATGTACACTACTTTTTTTAAAAAACTCTTTAGAGCCCTGGCCGGTTTGGCTCAGCGGCTAGAGTGCCGGCCTGCGGTCCTGAGAGACCCGGGTTCGGTTCCCGCTAAGGGCACGTACCTCGGTTGCGGTTTGTCCCCGGCCCTGGTTGGTCGTGCGGGTGGCAGCCACTCGATGTGTTCCTTTCACATCGATGTTTCTCTCTCTCTCTCTCTCTTCCTCTCTCTCCCTCCCACTCTACCTGAACAAAAAATGGAAAAATGTCCTCGGGTGAGGATAAAAAAAAAAACTCTTTAGAGATTGTGACTAACATTTTGTTCACTTAAAAATCTAACTATTAATTCAGTTCTCCTTGGTCAGTTCCTCCTGACTTTTGCATTAAATTGTATGTTTGATTATATACATTTTAATATGTAATTTTAAATATATTAATCAATATATGACATAATTAATGTATAATTATAATTAATTTTTAATCTATATTTGATTATATATATTATATACATAAAATCTAAAACATTTAATCTGATTCATCACATTTAATGTCCAGTAGTTCTTTCTCATTTATAAGAGATACTTATGTACCAACAGATGGATAATATTGTAAAGAATTTTTCCCACTTTTAAAAAGTCAAACCTTACTATAGAATCTCCAAGGCAGTCTAAAATATTTTATTAAACCAAAATATTATGGCAGCATCTATTTCTCTAAAATTTGACTGCTAAGACTTTGACATTATTTTACCATGTAGATATTTCTGCAGTTACAGAATTTTACTTGAAATTTCTTGTCAAAGAAATATAGCAACACATTTAATCAAAATTGTAGAAAGATTATTTTCAAGCACAGAAACCTGGATCTTTGAATGTTTCCCTAAATGAACCTTTGCGTGTAAATGGGGCTCACCGTGGCTCCTATTTCTTTGGCCTTATCTATTGTGTCCATTGCCAACATATGATCAAGACCAGGGTCCAATCCCAATTCACCAATGACTGTGATTCCAGCATCTTCCACACTATAACAGGTGAAAAGAGGAGGAAGAAAAAGTTGAATATAAAATAAAAATAATGCCATGGAGCTACTTTGTTGAAAATGACTGAAACTTACCTCTTTTCTAATTCCTTTAGCGCTGGTGTGATGTAGCTTGCAGTGATCATGTTAACTTTGCTTCTGATACATGCTTTGGCCACAAGAGGATGCAATACATAAGGCAACAAGCTTAAAAACAGAGGGAGGAGTTAATCAGAAACATTCTTGTCCAAGGGTACCTTCCAGTTTACCTTGAACTGCACTAAAGCTGAGACATCGCTCTGATTAATTTATTCTCACAATAATTTCTCGAGTACTATAGTATAAAAGCATTTGGTTACCGTGATTAAAATTCTCCAAAATATGACCTTCACCTAACTTTAGCATTTTTCTCTCTCTATCTCCTCCATTAATCATATGTGAAAACCAAGAAGCTGTTGTAATTCTCAAATCCCAGTCTTTACTTTGTCATCTCTGAACCTTTACTCTCACTATGCCTTCCACATGGGATGCTCCCTCCACTCTTCCACCCCTACCCAGGCCATAGCCTCTTTAAAGAAATGTCTGAACCACTATCTCCTCCAAGAAACTTCCCCAGATTTCCCCAAAACCAGATTTCCTTCCTCTTCAGTCATCCAACTTTTTTTTTAATAACATTAAATGGGATATATTCCATTTTTCCTTATACTTCTGTGATTTCCTATCTTGGGTCCCCTACTAAAAGATAAGGTTGCTGTCCTTTTCCCCTCTACATCTCCCAAATGGCTATCAGGAGGGGATAAAATTTAGTGTAGGTGGTCTGTGTGTTACATTAAAGAGTAGAGCTTAGGAAGGGCCAGAGCAGAACAGAGGTTTAAATGGTGTTGACTAGTGTAAAGCCTATCAAAATGGCTAGAAGTCTATGCAGTGATCAAAAAATGAAGATGTATATAAAACTCAACTTTAAGTGGGTTTTCTAAAATTTGGTTTTGGTATTTTAATTTAGTGCTGGGAGTACACAATAACAACAACAACAACAAAAGAATTTTCACAAATGTTTGTATAAATGAGTATATTCAGTCTATCCAAGAAATAGCAAAATATACTGTCTATCACTTAACAGTATTTAACTTTTACTAGTTCATTGCCTATTTGATAAAGCATGCAACATAGTAATAATGAAAATATAAATATAAACTTATAAACACATTCACACTAAATCTCTGTATATGTCAAAGTCATCCTGCATACTTGAGATTTTCTCTGTTTCACACAAAAGTAAAATCTCTTAGGCTCTTACTCCTTCTCAAATTAATAGAATAAATATTGCTAAATAGATTTATCATGTAGGATAAAATTGTGTACATATTTTGCCGGTATCAATAGGAAAGCTCTTGATCTCTATTTTTTGTTTTATTTTTTTTTCTTTATTGATTTTTAGAGAGAGAAGAAGGGAGAGGAAGAGAAAGAAATAGAAACATCAATGAGAGAGAACATCCATTGGCTACCTCCTGCATTCCCCACACTGTTGGATTGGGCCCATAACCTGCACATGTGCCTTGACTAGGAATTGAACCGGCAACCTCTTGGTGCATGGGTTGACTTTCAACCAGTAAGCCACACTGGCAAGGCTATTTCCTGGCTTTTTTAATCTAAGATAATTATTACTGAAGGTAAAGAGACGGAAAAAAAAATTCCATGCAAATGAAAATGTAAAAAAACTGGGGTAACAATACTCATATCTGTCAAAATAAAATTCAAAACAAAGGCCATAATGAGAGACAAACAAGGTCACTACATAATACTAAAAGGTTTGATCCAAAAAGAGGATATAACCCTTGTAAACATATATGCACCAACATAGGAGCACCTAAATATATAAAGAAAATCTTGGTGGACATTAAGTGAGAGATTGACAGCAATACAGTTGTAGTGAGGGATTTTAACACCCCACTGACATCAATGGATAGATCTTTAAAACAAAAATCAACAAGGCAACAGGGACTTTAGACAACACACTAGATCAGATGAACTTAATTGATATTTACAAAATATTTTAACTCAAAGCTGGAGAATATTTTTCTCAAGTGCACATGGAACATTTGCAAAGATAGACCACATGTCAGGACACAAAATAAGTCTTAATAAATTTAAGAAGATTGAAATTACATAAAGCATTTTATTTGACCACAATGGTATAAAGCTAGAAATCAATTACAGTAAAAAAAAAAAAAAAAAATCAAGCATATGGAGGCTAACTATGTTATTAAACAATAAATGGGTTCATAATGAAATAAAAGAAGGCATCAAAAGTTACCTGGAAACAAATGAAAATGAACACACAATAACTTAAATGGAACACAGCAAAAGCAGTCCTGAGAGTGAACATCATAGCATTACAGTCTTACCACAAGAAGTAAGAAAAATCTCAAATAAACAATGTAACCCTCACCTAAAAGAATTAGAAAAAGAACAATAAACAAAGTCCACAGTAAGTAGAACTAAGAAAATAATAAAGATTAGAGTGGAAATAAATGACATAGAGATTAAAAACAATATAAAACATCAATAAAACCAAGAGCTGGTTCTTTGAAAAGTTAAACAAGATTGACAACCCTTTCACAAAGTTATCAAGAAAAAAAGACAGTGTTCCCAAATAAATAAAATCAGAAATGAAAGAGGAGAAGTAACAATTGACACCACAGAAATACAAAGAATTGTAAAAAAAAATATTATGAACAACTGTATGCCAACAAATTGGAAAACCTAGGTGAAATGGAACATACAATCTTCCAAAACTGAATAAAAATAGTCAGAAAACATGAATAAACTGATTATAACTAATAAAATTGACGTTGTAATAAAAAAAAAAAAAAAAAAAAAAAACTCTCAGCAGCAAAAATCCAGGACAAGATGACTTAAAAGGTGAATTTTACCAAACAGTCAAAGAACTAACATGTATCCTTCTCAAACTATTCCAAAAAATTCAAGGGGAGAAAAGACTTCCAAGATCTTTTACAAGGCCAATATTATTCTAATTTCAAAACCAGATAAAGACAACACTAAGAAAAAAATTATAAGCCAATATTTCTCATAAACATAGATGCTAAAATTCTCAAAAATATTAGCAAACCAGATCCAGCAATACATTAAAAAGATCATACATCATAATCAAGTGGGATTTACTCTGGAGATATAAGGTTAGTATAATATTTGCAAATCAATAACATGATACATCACATAAACAAAATGAAGGATAAAAATCACATGATCAATTAATAGCTACAGAAAAAGCATTTAATAAAATCCAGCACCCATTTATGATAAAAACTCTCAGCAAAGTGGGAACAGAGAGATTATACCTCAACATAATAAAGGCCATATATGACAAACCCACAGCCAGCATCATACTCAGTGAACAAAAACTATAAGTGTTTCCCTTAAGAGCAGGAACAAGACAGGAATGTCCACTTTTACAACTCATATTCAACATAGTTCTGGAAGTACTGGCCAAAGCAATTAGACAAAAAGAAGAAATATATGGCATCCAAATTGAAAAGAAGGAAGTAAAACTGTCGTTATTTGCACATGACATGGTATTGTATTTAGAAAACCCTAAAGACTTCACCAAAAACTATTAGAGCTAATAAATAAATTTGGCAAAGTAGCAGGCTACAAAATTAATATTCAGAAATTGGTGGCATTTTTATATACCAATAATGAACTATCTGAAGAAGAAATTAAGGAAACAATCCCATTTACTATTGCAATAACCAAAACAAAAACAAAAAAACCGGTACCTAGGAATAATTTTTTTTTATCCTCACTCGAGGACATTTTTGCATTTATCTTCAGATAGAGTGGGAGGGAGAGAGTGTGGAAGAGAGAGAGAAACATCAACTTGAAAGAGACATATTGAGTGGTTGCCACCCACACAACCCCAACCGGGGCTGGGGACAAACTGCAACCGAGGTACATGCCCAAACCAAACCCAGGCCTCTCTGGTTAGCGGGCTGCCACTCTAACGGCTGAGCCAAACCAGCCAGGGCTATACCTAGGAATAATTTTAATCAAAAAGGTAAAAGACCTGTACTCAGAAAATTATAAGACACTGAAGAAAAAAATTGAGGAAGATACAAATAAGTTTAAGCATATACCATGCTTATAAATTGGAAGAATTAACATCATTATAATGTTTATACTACCCAAAGCAATTTATAAATTCAATACAATTCCTATTAAAATACCAATGGCATATAACAAATATTCCAAAAATATACAGGAAACCAAAAAAGACCATGAATAGCCTCAGCAATCTTGAGAAAGAAGAGCAAAGTTGGAAGTATCACACTACCTGATATAAAAAATACTAAAGTCCATAGTAATCAAAACAGCATGATTTGGGTACAAGAACAGGCATACAGATAAAAGAAACAGAATAGAGAGTCCAGGAATAAACCCACACCTTTATGGTCGATTAATATGTCATTAAAAAGTCAAGCACAACAATGGGGTAAAACATTCTCGTAAATAAATAGTACCGGGAAAATCGTACAAATACATGCAAAAAAAAGGAACTAGACCACCAACTTATACCATACATAAGAATAAACTCCAAATAGATTAAAGACTTAAATGTAAGTCACAAAACCATAAAAATCCCAGTAGAAAACATTGACAGTAAGATTTCAGACATTTCTCATAGCAATAGTTTTGCCAATATATCTCCTTGGGCAAGGGAAACATAAACAAATGGGACTATATCAAACTAAAAAGCTTCTGTACAACAAAAGAAACAAAATGGAAAGGGAACCCACTGAATGAGAGAACATATTTGCCAATGATACATCTGATAAGGGGTTAATTTTCAAAATATATAAAGAACTTATACTACTCAACACTAAGACGACAAACAACCCAATTAAAAAATAGGCTAAGGGCCTGACTAGGTACTTCTTCAAAGAGGATGTACAAATGGCCAATAGACATATGAAATAATGCTCAATGTCATTAATCCTCAAAGACATGCAAATTAAAACCACAGCGAGATACCATTTTATGCCTGACAGAATGGCTACCAGCAATCAATCAACAATGAGTGCTGGCAAAGATGTGGAGAAAAGAGAACCTTGGTGCAGTGTTGGTGGGGATGCAGCTTCTGTGGACAACAGTATGAAGTTTCGTGAAAAAAATTAAAAATGAATCTGCCT